GTGGGTTTATGTGAGTGAACAGTGGTTGGTTTGAACAAGCACCCTGTTAATATTTGAAGTGTGATTTGGAAAAGGAGAGTAGATTGTCTTGATCTCATGTGCTATGAAAAAAACACAGTAAATCTCTAAATTCCTAAATATTAGCATTCTGATCTTAACAAAGGACATATGGATTAAACAGCTACTGCTGCTAATTCCTACTGTGTAGTTATTACTTTGGTGCCATTCTTCTTTTCTTATGTAACAGTCCATTATTTTTTTAAAAGGTGTGTCCAATAGACATCCTCAAATGATATACGGATTATTGAAATAAAATTCCTAAAGGTCAAACGTAATGTTGGCCTTTAGTATAACAATGTAATAATGAATATACATAAAACCATTCTATCCATTTACAAAGGGCTGGGCATTTTTCTATATTGGAGTCTTCATTTTGTCTTTATTAATGAATTATTTCAGAGTCACAAGTGGATATTATAATCTTTTAAAAAAAAAAAGTTAGCCAAGTTGAAGCTTTCTATTATTATGTTTAATTCACTGGCCCTATTTTAATGGCATGTCAATAAGGAAAATGTGCATATAGTTAACTTAGTGTGCAGCAGAACTTTCTCTAATACTAGCTGTATTTGTCCTTGCTCAAAAATAAGGTATGCTTATTTCATATAAAGAAATAATACAAATATATTAATAGCAGTTCTCTTCATGGGCTAGCTAAATTCCGAAGGAACTAAATACATTTTAGTTTCAGTGAGCAAGATTTTTTTCCAGGCATCTTTTTCTGCATTTCCTTCATTTGAAAGAGTCAGATCTAAGAGACAGGAAGGATCAAACTCCCTATAAATAACTAAGAAGTTTCACTAATTTGTAATTCCAATGTGATTTTTGGCAAAGGCATCTTACCTACATGAAAAGCCAAGTGTTTAAAGCTTAGGGTACAGATTTAGAGGGACAAATTTGTGGTTGATGGATAATTCCTTGGACTTTAGTGAGACTGGAAAGCGTTCAAATATGAGCAGAATGCAAACCAGTTTATTTAATAGATATATACCTAAAATATTACAGCTTATAATTATAAGCTATACGTACCTTTTCTAAGAGAAACATTAAATATGGTGTTACAGCTTGTCCATCATACCAGCAATGGCTCGTTCTATAGCGTGGCATCACTAGATTTACTTTCTCTATCACGGTTCCATGGCAGGCAGGAGTGGCTATAGGTTTACGTTAGGAGCTCTAGAGGAGTTAAAGGTTATGACTGATGGTCTTACAACTCCAGGTGAATTTTCTTTTAAGATTTTGGGCAGTGTTCCCAAAATTTAAATGGACCCTGCGGGCAGATTAATATTACAGCTATTTAGAATGATGCAGAAAGGGCAAAGAGCTTCAACATATTGTTTCTGTTTTGTGTTTGGAAAGAAGTGTGCTAATGCACTCATTCCACTGAATTCATTAATAGGTAATGAAGTTAGGTGTTGGCTAGGGATAAGGTTTTTTAAAATGATGAAGTCTGGATCATTTGCACCTGAAAGTCCATAAAGAAAATACCTTTGGCTGAGGCACTTCACACACACTAACCAACTTTGGAAATGAATTCTGGAGTGCTGGGGAAATTGCAGAAGCAGGAAAGCTGTGAATCGCTTACATATATTTGAAAAGGACTCTTAGCTAAATGGCCTGTTAACCTGCCTTGAGCTCCAGGTGAAATATAGTGGAAAGGGTGAAGGATTTCAGTGATAAAGAATTAAGTGACAGGAATACAATTAATGTCAGCATAATTTTAGAAAAAATAGGCCTGATTTAACTCTTCGAGAGATTACAGATGTAATCAGACTGTGTAGATACCACATGCTTTCACTGCTGGAAGACATTCAGCTAGCACAATTATACAACTGGTCATTTAAAATAACTGGCACTGTAGCACATAGAGTCTATAAACAATGAATTAAAATCTGAAACTGATGGTTTTGAAAAATAATGCCAATGAGAAATAATCATCCAGTGAGGCCATTTACAATTGTGTCTTCCAAAGAAGGGAGCTCAAACCAAAGTGGTGCTACTGTTTTGTGCATAACCTCGGCTTAAATATAAAATATGCAGATGACACAGAGGTTGACAGCTTGATAGATAACGATGCTGAAGTCACAGAGAGTAACATGGGTAGTATGGTAAGCAGAACCCATGCAATTAGCTACTCTTTTGATATACTCACATGCAAGCTGTATATCTGAAAAAATCCAGTTTATAAGCGTGGAGGGGAGGACAGTATCCTTGAAAACAGCAACTTTGAAAAGTGCTTATAAATCATCTTGGACAACTGCATCAACACAGACTTCTAACGTGATGTCTGAGGTAAAAAGGATTAACAAGAATTTGTAAATCTATGCGTAGGAGTAGGAAGGCAATTTTATGTTTATATAAGCACTGATGAAGCCAGTCCCAGAATATAGCTTACCAGTCAGGTGTCAGTGTTTCTAACAGTGCAAGAAATGGGGAAGGTGTAAGAAGAAAGCCACAAAGATTATCTGAGTGCTGGAAAAATGCCTTACTGTGAAAGACAGAAAGAATGCCATTTGTTAAGCTTATCAAAAGTGAGTATGAAAGTTAACTTGATTGCAACACATAAGTACTGATACAAGGAGAATATAGCACATATTAAAATGCTTTTTAATCTTGGAGAAGAAAGCATAAGAAAAAACAGGGATAGAAGTTACAGCAAACACATTCAAACTATCAATTCGACAAAGATTAGCGTGCAAGTTTGCCAGCAGAACAGGTCTGATGCATCTCCCCTCTAGAAATCTTCAGACTGAAGCTGAGCTCCTTTCCAAAAGATGGATTTTAGCCTGGCTAGATTAATAATCTCAGCCTCACAATATGATGCCTTCTCCTTGCTTGTAATATAGTGTATTCCCACACTGCATGATATTTATTCTGTTTTTGCACAGAAATAGCATGTCCTTAGACAGAGCCATTAGAAGCATTTTAAAGGGAATGTGTCCAACATCATTATGTACAAAATTGAGGAAAAATTAAGCATCTAGCAGTAGCAAAAAGTGTTTCCTGATTACAATTGTAAAATGAAAATTGTCATATGAGAGGGAACATTTTTTTTTATTAATATGAAAGAAACCACTAGATGGCACTGAAACATCCCTTTGCAAATCCTCTCACTTTGATAGCTTGATTGTCCATATTTTTTAATCAAGACTGAAAGGAATTTATGAACCATAGTATAAAGAATCCAAGGGACATAAAATTCTGACATTAGACAGGATGAATTTTCTTTGTTTCTGTTTATTGTATACAATATGCGGTTTACTGTTTAGTTTATGATTATCTGAATTATCTTTACACACTTATATGTTCAGACACTTTGTTTAAGGGAACTTAATCAGTACCGAATTATAGCAAATGCTCCTTAGAATACAGAATTGAACACTATTCCAATCCATAATTTGATTGCTGGCTAGACCTTGTTCTCTTCCTGCTAGAGTAAATTCAGTTAAATTACAGCAATTCTCTATTTTAAAGTGAAATAGAGGCTATGGGCTCCTCTCTCCCTTGGATATGGCATCAAGACTGCTTGGAAGTTTATTAGTAGACAATAACAGGAATTATTGTTTCAGAAAAAAACTCCGAGAAATATGCTGTGTATTCATAAAGACTTTTTTTTTTTCTGGCATCTCAGCTGTTTAATATATTATTTACATGTAAAATTGATCACTGTACAGCCATTCCTTCCAAGCAAGTAGATGTTGT